TAACTTGTACAAATTTGTGGCAGGGTGAAATTGTAATTCTTGTTAACTTGCTGCACACATTCCTGGCAAGTTGTAGACTTGCAGAACACTTGCAGTACAAGTTCTAGTTGACACTTTTTGAATTTGTAGCAAATTTGCTTGGCATGTCTACAGCAAGAGTCCTGCAGGTCTTAGCAAGAGCTCTGCAAGCTCGCTGGTCTGGAGACTTGCAATGCAGACTTGCTGTAATTGTGCACCAAAATAGTGAAGCTTGGCAAGTCTGCAATAGTTTAGCAAGTCATTTTCAAACTTGCAGCTCAATTGCTTGCTATCTGGGCAGTGGGTAATTGTGGGCATAGCGTTCTGTTTAGGCTTTTCTTTTTTTTTTCTCATCTCTATAGGTTGAACTCGATGGACATGCGTCTTTTTTCAACCTGACTAACTATGTAATTATGTAATGTTGGAAGGCGGATTCTCATAGCCCACCAGTGAAGTGTTTTCATTGCTTAGATATTAAACTCATCTTTTCTTATGTACACTGGGTAGCCACTCAGCATATTTTCCTGCTTACCAGAAAACTGTTATCTTTAGAATTAAGATGGGATTAATCTGGTTGTCAACAGCATAAAATTGGGCTTGTTACAGTAGAAGGATTAATATTGTGCACCTCTCAACAGGGAAGAGAAATGCTAAGTGTCTAGACCCAATAAACTGCGTAGTGGATTACTGAGACTTGACTTGGAGACAATTTAGGCGCGTACTGTGAGTCCTGACATCCTTATTGTTGACTTCAACGTTTACATCTAATAACTGTCTTCACATCTAATTTCCAGCTTACTTAAAGTGTATTTCCACTTTCGCAGCCAAATTGGGATAACACATATTGTTTAACATGCTCCCATTCAATATAGCATAAGCTAAAATAAAAAAAAAAGCTTCTTGCAGTTTAATTTGCTTTTACTTTGGTTAGGGTTTTAAGGGTTAAAATTTCTTCTTGCTTTTTTTTTCCTTTTGAAATGTTAGGAGGGGCTGTAAGGGGCTGATTGTGCTTGTCCATTGTATGTTAATGAAGCTTATTAGATAAACACAATCCTTCAATTTCAGTCCCAAGACTTTCCATTAGGACAGGCCACTGTGAAAGGACTAAATAAAAACCTGGAATCAGCCATCTTACCCGATTTAACAAAACATCTCAAAAGGTAGATGCTGAAGAACACTCACTGCAAACGCCTCTTGGCCTCCCGTGGATTACTAGGACTCTATGGATACCACACTGACCAGGTGCGGTTGTTCGTCCAGGCCGCGATATTCCCCGCTGGGTAGGTTCTACTGTGCCCCACGGAAGCGATTGTCCAAATGACACTGGTTGCAGCAGACCAGACAGAAGTCTCTCTATCCGGATATTCTCCAGTCTGCTCACACTGCCGTAGGTGGGCTTACACAGAGTCTATGGCTCCTCTGAGTCAGCAGCAGCCACATAGATCTGTGTTCTTAGCTGGGTTATCCCGCCCGGAGCACGTTCAGAAAACTCCAGCGCAAATCACCCCTCCTGCTAAAAACACAGCCTGCTGGGAATTGTAGTGTCTATAGTCTCTCTCAGCACAGCTTGTCCCAGGCTCTGCATTGCAACTCCCACAAGTATCTCTGTATCACGGCTGCACAGTGTCATTTAGCTATTTACAAGCAGATTTATAGCTGATTCTGTACAACTTATATAGGGGGTACATTGGTCTTGCTTTGTTCTCTTTGCTGTGTTCTCAACACTGCTTTATTACTAAACTGAAGAATGCTGGGAGTGACTATACCACGGTGGTCACCTTTTTTTTCCGCCAGTATCCAAATGTTCCTGTAGATGGCAGTTTAACCCATATGTCTTTAAATCCTGTGTCCCTCAATGAATTCTAAGATTTTACAAAAATTGTATTTTAGCAGACCAAAAACTAGAAAAGGGCTTTGGAAAGGTTTACATACACTTTAAATAAGGCCACTATTTATTTCAACACACCTCTTAAATGTACTATTATAATAGAGGTAAGGAAAACCGGATTCATTGTTCATACCACTCAATTGGATTCTTCCTTTTTTACACCTACTCTACAAAGATGAATCATGGAATTTGATTGGTTACTCTGATAATGCTTCTTTTCTGTCCCACCTATTGAATCACTGTGTACTTTTCATCCTTTGTACTCAAACTGGTTGGTATCTGTTGGATGGAATTTAGTTGTTACTGAGGTCAGACGACATTCATCATTTGTAATAATTTAAATAGATGTTTTGCTTGACGGCTGTTCACATGGCAGGTCTGTGTGGGTCCCGCCCTTGTTCTAATATTGCACAGATGGATTAAAACATTTACATTAGCAAATTATTGCTGGAACTTCAAACAATAAGCCCACGCCTTGTCACGGACACAAACAAGTGAAATATTGGGCTGCTCCTGCAGGAAATACTACTGAAACCCGAGAGGAGAAAAACAAAGGCTTAGATGAAAGAACGCGTACCTAATTGTATCTATGATGGACATATAATACTCTACCATGTTTATTATTTTGGGAGAACTGAAACTCTTCTTGTGTTTTAAGGTGTCCATGTGCATGTAACTGCTACCCGCACGTGCAAAGCTTTGAGTTTTAGCTCATATGCATGGCCAATCTTTCTTTTCAACTGAAGAAGTCTGAACCTAGCAAGAAATATTTCCTGTTTTGCTTTATGTATGATGTGCTATTAGACATGTGCGATTCATTTCGTTCCGAATTGAAATTGGGCCAGAATATCGGCAAATTAGAACATTCGGATGCATGCGAATTTCCGAATTAAAGAAATAACGAAATCCCAACATATCCTAATTTCCCGAAAACTAAATTCAGATGCATCTGAAATGTTTTCAAAATGTCATTTTATTAAACATTAACAAAACAAACAAAAGAAAAGCATGGGGTCCCCACCCCAATTCAAACCAGACCCTTTAGGTATTTTAAGGGGGACCCAACACTAAAAAACATTGAAAAAGCGTGGGGTACCCCCTAAAATCACTTGATCCAAGCAGCAGCCTGGCAGACCAGGAAAGGGGGGAAATGAGTGTGCCCTCCTTCCCCCCCCGCTCCTGAACCATACCAGGCCACATGCCATCAACATGGAGGTTGATGGGGACAAGGGCCTCTTCCCCCAACCCTGGCCTATAGGGTCTGCTATGAATTGGGGAGGAGACCCCATGATTTCTTTTATTGTTTCCATGCACTGTCAAAAGTTAAAAAGAAAAAAGTAAATGTCACTTTTTTAATGTCACTTTTCTGCAACACATTTTGATTTGTAAATATCGTTTAACACAATTTCCCAAACACAAATTGACTTCCTGACCTTAAATACCTCACCCTCTTCTCCATAACTCAGGCGGGAAGTCTTCTGTATTCCTAGGGTGACGGTGCTCACTGTATTATATCTATGGATGAGCTCCTCTGTCAGCCTTGAACCTCTCCCCCTCTTCTCCATATCACAGGGCAAAGGTGTTCTGTACTCCTGGGGCAGGGGTGGGCAATTAAGTTTCTCTAGGGCCATATGAAAAACTTGCAGGGCTGTGGAGGGCTGACCCAATTAACGCATGGTACCATGCAACACACTTACCATGCGTTATAGTGCACCAAGTTGGTTGCATTGTCATTCGTTTGATTGGCACCACAAACACACCTCCTGGGTACAATGTGATTGACTGCACCGCAACGTGTGGTACGGCAATGTGCACCTGCCGAACAGTAACGCACGTTGGGTGTGTTGCACAGTACCTTGTGTTAGTCACGGCTGGAAGGGAAATTCAAACACTATATGAGCAGCTGGCACACACATGCCAACCCCACCCCAAACCCCTCCTATGTACATACCATTTTTATTCATTTATTTTTTGAAAGGCTGCAGGGGAGGACTTAGTGCCCAGTGGTCCTAGCATTCAATGACTGCAAAGGAAGACCCCTGACATCATTGGTTACTAGGAAGCCAGCTGCCCTAGCAACAAAGGACTGACTGCAAACACGGCCTGATCGCCGGCCTGCGCTGGGCTATGGCTTGCAATTAGGGATGTCCAGATACCAGTGCCGATACTTGCCATTTTCATGAGAACTAACAGGGTTGTAGCTAGGACATGGCTCTGGCGCTCCACCACTGTCCTGAAATCATTAGCCTGTATTGTTTTAGAAAAACTGTCAAATGACAATAACCAAAAATGTATCAGTACTTGTATCTGTGAGTACTTGGACAAGTATCAGTACTTGGAAAAATGGTATCGGTGCATCACTTATATATATTTATTTTTTAAAAATAATGCATTAAAATGGGGGATGTACAAATCCCAGGAGCTCCGTGCGCTCCTTAATACTGACAGCTGCCTCCTAACTTTTGCATTTTTCTCTATTCTAGTCTTGAAGCTGTAAAAGTATCTGTACTTGTACAGAGTATGGTACTTGGTATCTGAACATCCCTAATTGCAATAGATGCACCAGCCTTGGAGACCGGTGCATCAACTGTTAGCCACCCAAAATGAATCGCAGGTCGGCAGGCCGAACCGCAACAGGCCGCCACAGACCAAGGGCCAGATACGATCCGTGGCCAGAAAATGCCCAGATCTGTCCCAGTGTGAGTTAGTACAGTGAGAGAGCATATCTATAGATGAGCAGCTTTGTGAGCCTTCAACACCTCCTTTTCTCTTCTCCATAACACAGGGGTGAACTGGTAACAATGGAACTGAAAACAGATAGCAGAGGCAGAATATATGGGAAATGATCAGGTTTCTGGCATGATCAACTGGTATTTTTTTGTACTGAAACAGCAGACAAAAAAAACTTCCAATGATATATTTTGCAAATAAAAGGGAACAAATAAGAAATAGAAACTTTAAAATAAATCAAGTGAACTGTCTGATTTAAACAAAGTTGCTATATTGTATTAGTAGCTCAGTGACTGCTTTCCTTTGTTGCTTGGATTATGCTTTAAACATTTAGCTAATTATTGCTTTCTCCTTCTGTTTACAGCTTCTCAATGGGCATGTAAATGGTGCTAAGCTAACACTACAGATGGAAAATGCAAAGCTGGCCTTAGATGACTTCAAACGCAGGTATGTACATCTATTTTTCTCCCTCTGGTCTGCCTTTCTAGAGCACTTCTTAAAAATTATCACTTTATGAGATTAACGATTCCCAGAGCCATTTACCCTCCGACCCCCCGTGAATGTTTGTTCTGTGTACATAGAGGCAACACCAAACGTTCTTAATATATTTTCTTTTCAGATCGAATGTAATATAATGAAATACCGCATATGGACACTAGATAAAGCTGAATACTTCTTTCCTATGCATCTCAGCTCCATCTAGTGGCCATAATGTGGTATTACATTATACTACATTCGACCTGAAAAAAAATATACTAATGTTTTTCCCTCTATTTGCACAGAATAAATATTCGTAGAGAATAATATGGTGAATGACTCTGTGAATTGTTTATGAATAGACCCGTCAAATAATATGACGTTGACCATAATTAAGCAGAACACGTTCAAACAATTATATACTCTGGAATCCTGTAACAAAACATTGAGGCTGAATTCACATTCTGTACATTTCATTCTGTGCAGTGTTCAAAGATGTATTCCTATTTGTATTCCCCCTACTCCCTTTCCATTGGCAACCCTAATTGTGGTACACGCGTATCAATATGATCATTCTAGGTGACTAAATTGATGCAGTTGAATAAAAATTGCAAGCCATTGGCCCTCCAATCAACTGGTTAGGTGAGCTCTCAATCGATTTAGTCTATTTAGTCAGTTGGCCGTGGCAGAATTTATTTTTTTACTTCTGATCGATCGAACAAATATCGGTATGTGTGCCGGAGCACCGATTGTAATTTAGATCGGTTATGAGAGATTGTTCACATTTCTGAACTGATAGAGTATTTTCAATCAACCGTGAAATATTGAACAATGCCGCGTGACTTGCAACGCTTTATATTTTAATTGATGATGAGATCCCTTATGCTTTGTAAATCGATCAGAAATCGCTACAGGGATGGTCACCTTCAAATGTTACATTTCCCCCCATTTTTTGCCTTGCTGACATTGGGCCAAAAGGACAAAAAGTTAGAGTGACTCTCTCCAGATGCTACATAGACCAGGACGACCCGATTTTAACTTTTTCCCACGTCATCCAAAGCTTTCAAAAGTTATTCTGTGGTTTCTGTTTACCTATCTGTGAAAGTTTTGGCTTTAGCTTTACTTTAAAGATCATAATATTAAGGTACAAAAACCAAACATAACATATATTAAAAAAGGGAAAAAACAGCATAGTAAACAGCAGTTTCTATATCAGCAAGCCTAGAAGTAGGAGGACTGGGGAATCCTCATCTCCAGCCCATTTCCACTGCGAATGTTACAGGAATGTTACACCGCCGTCCCAAATGTAGCACAGTACTGTGAGGGGACACCAGTTCCTGGAAATTATGTGTTATTGTGTGGATAAACCTTCCAAGAGACATACCTTGTCATTTCTTTTATCATGATTCTCTATCCAGGCCCACCCATGATAAAGATTTTACTAGTCACCATAGGAGATCTCTGTACTAATTGCTAATATGTGTACAGAACAACATGGATATTAGAAGCCTCCTGTGATTGAAATTGCCAGTAATACTTATGCAAAACATAGCTCATAGCAGGTTAAGGAGAGAGGCTGTGAATTACATAGTTACATGGTTGGTAAGGTGGAATAAATACAAAGGTCCATCCAGATAGAGAGACACAGGTCAATCCAGTGCGCATCCAGGATTTTTCAAGCTGAACTCTGGGCACAAAAATGTTCATTTAAATATATTCCCTAAAAGCCACTAAGGATATAAATTCACTTTGGGTGCACCAGATGCCTTTGCAACCCTGATATTACCTTGTAAAAGTAGCAGTGACATCACCACGCTGTACAAAGCCTGTGCAGAGAGCAGAGCTGTGGGAGGGACCCAGCAGGCCCCACCCACTATAGGCTGACTGCAGAGAACTACAGGAGGGGACGGAGACAAGACCAGTCACCCTGCACAAGGAGAGAGAGCAGCAGTGACCGGTCTTTATTACAGGAGGGGGCAGAGACAAGACCAGTCACCCTGCACAAGGAGAAAGAGCAGCAGTGACCAGTCTTTGTTACTGGAAGCTCCAAGTTTCACACTGGATTACAGCACAGATCTAGAGGAAAAGCACAAAGCACAAGATTCAAGCAAGGACGCATATGATTCTTGTAATTAGATAATTGTTGCTTTAGCTTTAATGTTTGGTCCTGTCAACAAACCATCGGAAGCACAGATTATTCCAGCTCCATAATAATATAAGAAATAAGATAAAAAAGCCTATTAAATATAAATAGTAATTTAGAAATTAGCTTCTCTGCCACCTGCGGTATTTTGCTTCCTTATGTAATCTCTGAGTCATTCCTGCCTTTATAAATTGCCAAATGAAGACCTGGAGCCTCTGCTGCACAGGGGAGGGCCTGCCCCGCTCTTTCTAGAAAAAAAAAATGTGTGCATTTTTGGGCAATTTGGAAGCATTTTACTTACTGCTTTCACATGTTTTCAGACTTTATTTTAGCCAATGGAAAGCTAGTTGATGGGAGGAGGAGACCTTGTCAGGTGCAAAAACATACATTGCATTAATTTTGCAGGTGAACCCATTGAAGTCTATGGGGCCAAAAACACAAAACAATCAGCTACAGTCAAAACAATGCCCAGATATGTACATAGGCACCATTACCAATAATGGAATTCTCCACGTTGAGATGTCACGCTATGAGAAACACACAACAAAATGCTTAGTCATGAATGGGGACTAAAAAGTAAGGGTAACTCAAACAGAGATCAATAAAATGTGTAAGAATATTGGAAGCTGAAAGATTTGTCTTTGGCATAAAGGTGAAGTTACACTTTAAGACTTGGGGCTGATTTGTAAATCTTCCACCCAATGTATAGCTGACTGAATGCTATTCTCATGGCACTAGTACCCCTAGATGGAGATGAGCAGCATAGGTAATTTATAAATCAGCCCCTAAAAGTAAACCTCACATGAGATAAATTCATATGCCTTCAATGCTGGCTCCCTTTTGAAAATACAATTTTCCTTGTTGCTATACCCATTTTTTTCAATACTCATTTCACTGACCTGGAATGCATATGTAGGGTTAGTGACTCGAAATGTTGAAGTATGGGGATCACCTTGACATCCAGGCAACTTGATGAGGGCAGCAATGGAAGACTCTTTTCTTTTCTCATGACAGTTTTCTTTGAAAGGGTTTGTGCACCCAGATCTGAAATTTCAGTTTTTGGTAGCCCCTGGAGAGCTACAACAATCTCTCGGGGACTCCATTGTTGAGTGATCTGGGGTGAGTTTCTGCCACTGCACATCTGCTGTACCTTTTATAAGGGGGTTCCACTGTTGGAATGTTTATCTATTTTACATAATGGGGAATGTAATGGGATGAGCTGGAACATACAACCAGAGGTGGGAAGACCTGTATCCTACAGGTGGACAGGAACAGAGTTGGTATTAATGGAAGATATTGCTTTTGAGTAATATTAAGCATGTAAGAGAACATGGGCTGGCCCAACCTAAAGGGCGCCACCTGGAACTAAATTTCACTTTTGGGTGAACTGGTCCTTTAAACACACCAGTAATAAGTAGAACATATTGTAGCTGGCTGTGGTTCTGCTGGAAATTACACTTTAATTACTTGATAACCAGACTTCATACATAAAGTAAAAAAATGTGTTTTTTCAACTAGTAATTGAAACAGGATACAAATGAGTGAATTAGAATAGCAAGGGTTCATAGTAAATTACTTCAATAAAATCTCATAGAAGGACTGGCAAGGCTTTCCACAGTTAGATGTCCCCTTGGCTTGGCTGTTTGCAGAAGCTGATGTGCTCAATGTGGTTCCTCAGAGATCCCTTGCTAGAATCATTAGCTGAACATGATGATGTGAAATTATTATGATTCATTTGATTCTGATGCTGAGATTTTGGCACAGGTATTTTTAGGGCCTATAATTTGTCTTTCTAACATTTCTTTACATGGCATTTGCGGTAGAGCTGTAAACAGTGGCACACCATATTTATGCATTTCAGTTGCATACACAAAAAGATGCTGTTTTTCTTATCCCACTCTGGTCCTGTTTTATTTATTAGAGGTATTTATATAGGACAGTCAATGTATGCAGCACTTTACATAGAGCACATTCACATCAGTCCATGCCCACAAGGAACTTATGATCTATAGCTAAGGTCCCAACTCACATACATACAGCTATCAGGGCAATTTAGACAGGAGTCAATTAACCTACCAGCATATCTTTGAAGTGTGGGAGAAGATTGTTGTACCTTGAGGAAATACAAGTACATGGAGAACATGCAAACACTATGCAAATAGTGTCCTGGCCGATGTTTAAACCCAGAGTGAAACAAGGCAGAAAGAGTGATCCAAGACAGAAGTGCTCAAAACTGAGCCACTGTTTTTTTTTTTATAGTTATAGAAATAAATCTGGAAACCCCTGTTATTGCTGTCTATGTTCTTGGTGGTGAGATTCACCCTCTCTGGACATCCTGGTGACCACCGGAAAATCATTTGAAATCCAAAATATTACAATGATCTTCAGAACAAAAGATCAGGGAAATTCTTCTAAATTTTGTGTCCCCATTTCTTTATTGGGGGTACAGACAGCAAAAAATTGACAGAGATTTTAACTATTCATACTTAAAAGTTTTGCCATTGGTTATACTTTAATGTTATTATTATTTTTTGATCACCTTTATAACTTTTGTACCAAGTTTTTCTACCATATGCTGTTTATAAATGGCCCTGTGGTGCGTTAAATTTTCCCCTTAAAAAATAATTTATCATTGGTTTCAGATACGACACAGAGAAAGCGTTTCGTGCTGTCCTAGAGACGGACGTGGAGGGCCTGCGCAGGGTGATGGATAACCTCACTATTGTCAGGACAGACCTAGAGATGGATGTGGAAGGAATGAGGAAACAGCTGATCTACATGAGGAAGAGCCATGAGGAGGTACTGTTGTCTATTCACTCAATATTCTTTGTACTATCCACATTGTGTGGATGGTTCCAAGTACAGCATTGTAATAGGAAGGACTTCTGATTTAAATAAAACAGAACAGGGCAAACAATGTATCACCTTAGTTCACTGGACTGAAGAATAGCTTGGACAAATAAGCAACACACTAAGATATTTGTTCTGCATACAATATGTCTGGTTTTTACTGGCTGCCATGTTTGACTGGAGATGGCCAGGGAACCAGGCATACCAACTAACAACAGATCAATTGTACATCCTAGACACAATGATACTGAAATAGAATGAAAGGCCAAAATATGAGCAAGGGAAGCCTGTTCACAATGAACTGTAGCAGATCATGTGACTGCTCTGTGACCCAGCAGCCTAGACCTGTCAGAATACATTAGGATTTGCCCAGGCACTAAAAGCATATACCACTTCATTTTGGATACAATACATGTATTATACAAGATAATATAGCGTTGAAGTGTTCTATTGATTTAGTAACTGAGTAGACAAAATTTGGGAAAAAAATCAGGACAATCCAGATCTTTCCACCACACAATGAATATGCAGTGAGGCTCTTTTTTCTAGGAAGTAGGTACACTGCAGGGCTAGTCAGTGGTATAGAATTGTTCAGGTAATAATATAAAGTTTGGTTTTAAGGTGGGGTTTTCCCAACCTGTGGACCCTTTAATAAGTTTGCCCTGAAAACCCAGGAAAACCAATGCTTGGCCAGTTATCTCCTTTATGAAACATTCTCACAGTATACTGCATGACACCAGACACCTGGTGTGATTGTTGGTCAGATTACAGAATTAATCACATGATAATATAATAACTAGGTGCTACATTGGGAAATTATGACTCTTGCTTGGGTACTGAGTGAGTGGGATGCTTGCATCAGTGGCTGCATTTACACATGAGACAAGTTCTATAGCCCTCTATGGTCACCTACAGTTCAGTTTTATGGTCCCCTATAGTTCAGTCTGTGGGCACCCTGCAGTGCAGTTCTGTGTTCCCTGCAGTCCTGTTTCTATGGTCATTTGTAGTTCCGTCTTTTCTCCCATCAGGTCAGTTATAGTTAGGGATGCACCGATACCAAGTACCGTACTCAGTACAAGTACAAGTGCAGATACTTTGACCTCCAAGACTAGACTAGAGAAAAATTCAAAAGTTAGGAGGCAGCTGTCATTTGTAAGGAGCATACGAAGCTCCTGGGATTTGTACATCTCTGTTTTAATGTATGATTTTGTTTTTATAAACACATATAAAGGGATGCACAGATACCATTTTTGTAAGTACAAGTACTGATACTTGCCCAAGTACTTAAATTACAAGTACTGATACATTTTTGTTTGTCATGTGACAGTTTTTCTAAAACAATACAGACTAATGATTTCAGGAAAGTGGTGGAGCACCAGAGCTAGGTCCCAGCTGCAACTTCTGCAACCCTGGTAGTTCTCATGAAAATGCCAAATATCGGCACTGGTATCTGAAAAGTATCGGTGCATCCCTAGTTATAGTTGTGTAAATTATTTTGTGACCAAAAATATTAATGTTTGTGTAACTGAATAAAAATACCCACTTGTTATCAGACACCTGCAATCGTGGGTGAATCAGGTAATAATCTGCAAAACAGGGGCACACACACGACCATACCCTTGGGTAACCTTGGGAAATTCCTTAGGTCGCTGGAATATTTTTGAAAGATTATTTTTTCGTCAAAACTACTAATATAAAACAGTTGTGGTTAGTGTTGAAGTTATATAACATGAATGTGCATGCTTACGTAGATGTTGAGTGAAAGCAGGATTTTGCGACTGAAATACTTCTTAGTGGTTGACCACCAACCACTGAAGGTGGACTTTCATTTCCCATTTGGCCGATGTCTGAATGTGACATACTGTATGTATGGTTTAGGGATCATTCGTTTTTTTATTTTTAACAAAAAGTCGCTTTACTACTTGTGTATGCTTATATGCCGCTGGTAATCAATTGGATGCTAACCTACATGCTGTCTTACTATCACAAGTAATAGTGGAATAGATCATATTTTTCTGCATTCTGATCTAAATGATTGATAACTATACAGTATTATGCCTCTTCTGGGAAACTAGAAATTCTTGTATCATGGACCTAGATAACTCTGTAATACTAGCAGTCATTTGACCCATGTATATAGATAAGGATATCTGTTTTGAAGAACAATGGTATAGGCAAATACCCACACCCAAGTAACAAAAACTTACCTTGCATAGTACGGTCAAGAATAATAATAGATGTGAATAAAGAAGAAATGAGTGTGTATCAGTAACTGTCTAAAATCCTTTCAGTACAGTGCTTGCAAACATCTTTCATTGCATAATGTGTTCAGAACACATAAAGAGTGTGGAGAAAATTAAACATAGCCATTTTAAAAGGCCATTGATGAGGAACTTGAACTGAACATTGTTACAATACTGTAGTTGTTATAGAGATAATAAGTTGGTTTTACATGCATGCTTCTCTTTATATTCCATTCATCTCCTCCCTGTGCTGTTGTTCAAGAAACAAGAGGGTGATTCTGATTGTGCCAACCTGCTGAGCATTCCTCAGATGCAAAATGTGTATTGATGTAAATGGTTTAAAGGATCAGGACACACAAAAGTACTAATTCAATTATAGATGGACCTTGGTTGTCTGAGTCAACCCTTGTATGTCTTCAGTACTCATTTAGTAGAATCAGTAGAATCTTCCTTCCATTTTTTCCAACTCTTTTCCTATCCACTTGGGAGTTTTGTGTGTTCCTGCCCACCATTGTATGTTCCATCTCCTCCTGTTACAATCTCCTTAACTTAAAGAAAAAAATGCAGTGCGTAGAGTGGGAGTCCCTCATAATGGACAAAGCAGGTGTGCAGATAGGGACTCTATTGGTGAGATCTCCGCACTAATAAATTTTTAGGGGGATGTAACTCTCTAACATCTTCCAAAACTGAAATATGTGTAAGGTGGATTGACCCTTTAAAGAAACCAACCAAGAAAGAAACATAGACACTGTCATTGCTGCCCACTTCTGCAAATGCTAGTTGTCCAGCTGTCATGCTAACCCTTATTATTATTATTATTATTATTATACAGGATTTATATAGCGCCAACAGTTTGTGCAGCGCTTTACAATATAAGGAAGAGATTACAATCACAATACAATTCAAGACAAGATGGTAAGGAGGGCCCTGCCCGTGAGGCCTTACAATCTAAAAGGGAGGGGCAAGTGATACATGATGAGTTTGCTGTGTGGGGATGAATTGTTTAAGAAAGTGATACCCTTACACTTCAATACCTTGAGTCACTGACCCAGAACAATATAGGAAGGGTTAGAACCTCTATTAAGTTCTCATTGCTAGCTGTGTGAGAATCTCCCTCATTACCAGTCCCAGAGACAGGACAGGAAGAAAAACAATCTACCCACAGTGATGGAAATCCTATGTGTAACCATTGCCATCAGAGCTCTTTTGGGAGATTCAAATCTTTGGGCTAAATACTTTAAACATACTTGCTCATGTGATACTAACAATGTAGGTTATGCTTGGAATGCAACCCTCATGTAATTATCTGACTTATTTATACAGGACATGAGACTGGCTCAAGCTCAGAAGCAAGGTTCAACTGTCAATGTGGAAGTTGATGCCCCCAAAGGAGCGGACTTAGCTAAATGTATTGCTGAAGTGAGAAAGGACTATGAAGCCATTATAGCCAACAACAGAAAAGAAGCAGAAGAATGGTACACACACCAGGTAAGAAAAGTCTTCCCAAGTTTAGAGAATGGTAATCCAGTGATTTGATGGGTGCCCTGTCACCGTCTACATTCCTCATTTTTCTAAAGCTTCTATAAAAAGTTTAAGCAGATTGGAGCATCATAAGAACATAAAGGCATTTAAGTCTCATTTTATCACATATTACAAAAATAGGGGATTATTTCTCTTTTCAGTATAGTGGACGGAGCCATGCAAATCTTTTATGCCCCTTTGCTAACTGCTCATCAAGAATCATTGGTGTATATCGCAGATACAGCCTAATATTATATAGTAATTTATTCCAAACTGCATACAGTTGTGTCAGGCTTGTTAAGCATCATTGATGCAGTGCTTGAAATATAACATGTCAGTTAAACTTTCTCATGGTAAGGTTAATAAACTTTGGAGTCAACTTACACATTCAAACACTGCTACGGCAGATATCCCTAGGCACCTAGTCTAACAAGAAACTGATTGTAATGTGATGACTATGAAATAAAGTACCTGGGTGTATTTATATGTGTACATAAACAATGTATGTGCATAAATCATAAAAGGGACTGGAGCTTAGAAAACTGGAACAAAAAGATTGAGTAGCCAAGAGTAAATATTCAGGTTTCCTATTGTCATGATCTGGGAACCGGGACACTAGGAACCGTGAGTATCGGGTTTTGCGGAGCAGTCCAGAACTAAGAACAGGCCAGGAATACAGGTCTTGGGGAGTGCGTCAAACACAAGGGACCAGGGACAGAGTGTCTGCACCGAAAATGTGGGTGTGCTAGAGGCACAGAGTCTAAGGAGAGCCTGGTCTTCTCCAGAGCCTTCTATGGTGAGGATGATTGTGCAGCAGGGCAGCTCCCAGGTTGTGGCCCTCTAACACACCCGTGCAGACCTGTTACAATGGGAACAGCACTGGGGGTAATGGCACAGATCTGCTCCATCAGCTTCTTTCCAGCTTCTGAAGCCGGAGAGTGACACAATAATGCGGAAGTGATGTAATATACAACAATTCTGCATTCTTGCAGCGGAGAGGGGACCAGAGGGAGCTCGTGTACCGATCTCCCTCTGATCCCCTGTGACACAGGCACAATGCTGATCCCGGGCTCGCACCGGGCACAGCAGAGCCCGGGACCAGCATGGCAACGGCGGGAGAGACCGCGGAGGGGTGGTGACACCAATCGTTACCCCATACAAGCGATCCGCCGGCGCTATAGCCGACGGATAGCTTGTATGTTAACAGGCATCGCTGCCTGTTCTTAAATATCGGGTATTTCCCGCTCGCGCGCGTCTGAGCAGATGTCTTAAGATGCCCGCTCAGATCTAGAAAGCTTCCGGCCGGCCTTTTTTTTTACAACAGCTAGTTAAACATTAAAGGGCCCCAAAAAGGTGCCTTGAGCAAGATTGAGGAGTTTTGAAGGAACAAGAGCACCACATCATTGGTTTTGACGTCTAAAGCTATTTATTTTATTACAAAAAGAATTGCATTCATGTCCCTGGTTCTTTATATGTGTGTGGTTCATTATACTCCAGATGGAGAGGAACTAAGGCAAAATCTACGAAATTAGGACATAGAATAAAAAGTTGAGTTCTAACCAGCTACACTTTATCCAAATGGAAACAAAAATGGTTGGAGTTGGGTATTAAACCAGCTCCAGCCAACAACTTTTATTTGAGTTTTATATAGAGTGTAGAATGGTTAGATTTTTATTGACATCTGTGTCTCTACTGGATAGATTTACCCTCACATTGTGCTGGGACAAGAAGTGATTGGTAATCTTCCCCAACAGGGACATAGACAAACACAAAACCCCATTTTCAGTAGGCTAAGGAGGGTGTAGAACGTCTAACAATGCTTTTATGACTGTGTGCACCTCCCTGTCCCCATGATAACTGCACCTCCAGTTTTTGTATGGGCATCACAGGGACAAGACGAGAGGAAAAATCTCCCCAATGGAGGTTCCTTTATACATCAAAGTTGAAGTAAAGTTGGCAAAGATGTATTTTCACACAGTGTGCATACTATGTCAATAAACAACTATGTTCTTATCCAAATTGAAGGTTGTCTTAGAACAAGCCAAGGCTTGCTGGTTGCATACGTTACTCTCTTAGCTAATGTTTATGTGTAATGGTAGACAGCTTTAACCCTGGCACATGCCCCATGCCAGCACATGCCCCTTTTAGATTAGACTAAATGGAGAAAAAAAAAGTTTCATTTGTTCAACATTCTATGTTAATCCAATTTGATTTTGGCTTACGTTAATTTTGGCTGGTGGTCAAACTGGAAACAGTTCATTCGTTTCAAATTCTCCTCAGGCCCTATGCAAACATTAATTGTGTTAATGTAAAGTAAAGAAAAAACATGCAATGACAGACAATCTCTATAATATTACATATACCATCATGCCCCTCATTTCCTGCAATTGACTGATGGGCTGTCACGGCTTTAATTCATGCAATTAAATGTGTTTGTCTCAGACTTTTAGGCACTAAAGCTGAAGATTCCACAAGGCACAGTTATTATAATTATGTAGATTAGAAGTCTTTATGAGAACTTGTATCCCACCTGAGAAAACAGCATGCCCCTTGTTCATCAAGCTGCACTTAAGGCATTGAAAGCATCCTAATGTGCACTCAAAGCATGCTAAAGTAGCTTCTCGGTCAGAATTATTTTATTGCATTTTAGCATGTCTTAAAGCTAAACTCCAAATAGTGTAAGTACCTAGAATGACTTGGTAGCCTTTTGTAATCCACTGTAGCTTTTAGACTGTAAGAGGGAAGGGCAACACTAGTAGTCAATCTTTTGTATCACATTGAAATGATGGCAAGGAGAGAGCAGAATGAGCATAAGGATGAATACTCATGGGTGCTGCTGACCGTAAGCTGAAAGCAGGGAGATGACCAGACTGTATTGCTTAACGTGTATGTAAAGATGGAGCAGATAAGTGAACCTGAATGCAATCTGTCTGCGTCCAGGGCCGGTCATCTGCCCGCGTCTAGGGCCGGTCATCTGCCCCACACCACAGGTAACTGCTGGAAGTACAGATACATGTGAATAGCAGTCACTCAGCCTGTACAGAGCTAAGATATGCTGACAGAAGCTGGAACCACCTGTCATTCCAGCCACAGGAAACCATTGTACTGACCTTATAGGCAGGGGCGTCCCTAGCTTTTTCGCCGTCTCAGGTGGGGCAGGTGCGGGGGTTGCTGGTAGTGCACACTAACCGAGTGGAGGGATTGGGGATGTGGGGAGCTCTGTTATTGGTTAACAAGAGCTGGGTGGGACCACAGCTACAGCATTCTACTCAGCTCCTGGACATCAGTGACATCACTGGTTGCCAGGAGCTGAGCAGGACGCCGGCAAGAGCGTCCCAGGTTGCCAAGAGCCTGGCTCTTACACATCTCCCCACCTGGCTTTTAGCAACCTGGGATGCTCTGGCTGGAAAGGGAGCAGCAGGCACACTGCAAATATTTTTTAGCAAAGTGGCCATGCCACGACCATGCCATGACCCAAATAGATGCCACCTGAGGCAACAGCATCAGGCTGCTTCATTATAGGGATGGCCCTGCTTATAGGATGCATGAAATCAGAGCAAAAATTAAATGTAAAAGGTAAATGAAAGCTTGTGTGTCCGGAGTTCAGCTTTAAGAACATACACAATACTTATTGAGTCACAAACACGCAAAATTACCTGAAAGATGATAGGCCAAAATGAATTGTATTTTAGTTGTACTCTCTGGAATAGGTCATATTGCAAATAAATACTAAAACGTTCTGCCTGTGTAGAGTATTAATAATATTAGTATTGGTAATAGTAATAATGAGTGCCATGTTTTGTATCTTTCAGTCTACAACAGTACAGAAGGAGGTGAACACGCACACAGAGGCTCTGCAAAGCAGCAAAAACCAGACCAGAGAGTTGAAACGCACTCTTCAAAATCTGGAGATTGAAATGCAAGCCGAGCTTAGCAAGGTAAGACAGTCAATGGGACCGTGACAACCTGAATGCAGAAATGTATAGTGATTTTATGTGACACTTATGGTATATTAAATGTACAAAAGGTAGATGTGAGGAACTGGACTTACATTTTCAAACAAATCAGCAAAAGCACTATTAAAGAAGTTGCAAAGTCTCAGTATGTACTATCCAGTTATGACATCAGCATTGTAATAGAATACAAAATAGCTGTTTGTGATAATGCAATCAAAGCTTACTTAAAAAAAAAAAAAAACCTTTTATGTAGCGAGCGCTGCCTCCCGCCTGCCCATCACTTTAAACAAATTCCTGGATTCCCAGTGCGCTTTGCACCTATTTCCCTGCTGCTTGACGTGATGCAGTCTTGATTTCTCAAGACCACATATCCCAGCATGCATTGTTTCCAGCAAGCAATAATCATGTTGTAGTTCAGACGGCAGGCTCTGTAAAAGTGTTGATAAAATGAAGGACATCCTATGGGCATCCTCAATAAGTAAGTTTACAAACTTCTAGATCGATATGGTTGTAAGGAGTGGGACAGAACTTATGGAAATTCAATTCAAAATACATATATATTATTAGTTTGTGACTATAGATACCCTTTATAGAGTCAGCTGCCCATCGAAAAAAAGGGGGGTGTCACCAGAATTGAGAAATCCATATGTACATAAGTCAAATGAGAGTGCCAAATCAGGTGATAGGAGTCGAAAGTCTTTAGTTAGGTCTGATCACAAATTAATACAAATACAGCCAAGACAGCCAGACAGCGTCACATTTTCTGCCTTGAGAAAGGGGCCCTGCTTGGCCCCGAAACGTCAGCTCTTTTTGATTGTCGTGACACCATGGTCCTTGAAAAAGGACTTATTTATTTTTAAATCTCTTGAGTGAGGTCACATTTTCTGCCTTGAGAAAGGGACCCTGCGTGGCCCCGAAACGTCAGCTCTTTTTGATTGTCGTGACACCATGGTCCAATAAAAAGGACTTATTTATTTTTAAATCTCTTGAGCGGTCACATTTTCTGCCTTGAGAAAGGGACCCTGCGTGGCCCCGAAACGTCGGCTCTTTTTGATTGTCGTGACACCATGGTCCAATAAAAAGGACTTATTTATTTTTAAATCTCTTGAGTGGTCACATTTTCTGCCTTGAGAAACGTCGGCTCTTTTTGATTGTCGTGACACCATGGTCCAATAAAAAGGACTTATTTATTTTTAAATCTCTTGAGTGCTGGTGACCTATTTCTTCAACAAATACAGCCAATTTTTTTTGGGGGCCACAAATATCCCCCTTGATCAGGGATTATGGAAGGGTTCAGACAGCTGAAAGCGGGATTGTGCTGAAATACACTGGAAAGCCATTTAGTAATGCATTGCCAAAGAAAGAGGAAAAGAGATAATAAATGAACTGGGAGCATGCAATCATACTGTTTTTGACTTGTTATGCTATTTTTGCTTTGAACACACATCTTACATAGTATTTGAGGTTGCCCTCAGCTTGTGTAGCAAGCGTTTGTGTGGTACCGTATAGGTTCTAGTCCTTCCAGTACACTTCCCTTTTCTGTGTTCAATATTAAAAGTAATCACATTGTGATCACTATTACCCAATGATATACTTTTTTCTGAAGTGAAGAGATGTAACAGTTTGAGCAGATCACATGTTGCCATGTAGACTTTATTGTATTCTATTGCCTCCCTGTTGATGGATAAGTTCACCTTTAGTTACGCGTTCCAGTAATAAGTGTCCTCGGACACCAAAGGCATAGTGAGACCTCCCGTCTGTGTAAGAGCATCCTGGGAAAACTCCATAACATTATGATAGGGAAAATTGTTAAAGAAAAGGTCCCAACACACTCTTGGGACTTTGCTTGGAGGGGAAAGGCATTGGGAAACTAGGCTAATGGTATCCTTACTCTAAACAACACTAGAGATGGGGACTCTACCAAGTTTCCCCATCTAGGACATAGCAGATTTCCATTTCCATTAAAGCTGGATATTAAGTTTAATACATATCTAAACATATCTTAATACACATATTTTCCTTTATTTTCACCTGGTGATCTGGCCACTAAGTCTGGTTTTTTTTTAAATTCCTTTAGCAAACCAAGCTGTCTAGCAAAAGTAGCAGATCTAGGTTGAGACAAACCATTTATCACAGAGAGGGGTGCTTACAGTGGTCAACTTTTATTTATTTATTAGGGCGGTGCAAATTAACAATTAATTTCTCGATTAATCTTTAATTTTTTTGATCAATTAAAATTTTTTTGATCGATTACATTTTTTTGAAACTTTCTGCACAAGCGCCAGCCAAGGCATTGGCCTATACACATACAACACAGCAATGAGGTAATAAAATGAACTAGGATCACACTAATCCAGCACGCTATTATTCGTAATTGCCCCACTCAAGCGCCGGCCATATTGAGTGGGGCACGTGAGATTAATAACGTGCTGGATTAGTGTGATCCTAGTTCATTTCATTACTTCATTGCGGTGCTGTATGTGTATAGGCCAATGTAGTTGGATCTGTATGTGCGTTATAATTAATCATAATTAATCGATTAAAAAAAAATTTGATTAATCGAACACGAAAATTTTAATCATTACCAGCCCTATTATTTATGTAAAACCTTTATTCTTAAAGTGAAAAAAAACCTTGCTCTAACTGCGTAAAAAGTGTTAGCTGGAGTTCTGCTTTAATGTGTTGAGTAAAGTCCATCTAAATCTTCTAGTGCATCTAACACTACCCTCCCCACATGATGACAATGCTGTTGTCCAAGGGTGACTCCTTAGAGCAGAGCCACCATAAGACAGGAAGGGGTTGATTTACTAACCTTATAAACACGCCACGAACAAGTATACACCTCTGTAGTGTGTTACCTCCCAGCATGATCTATTGGTGGAATCTAGACACCTTTGTAGTGTGTACACACCCAGCAGGTGTGTTGTGCAAAGGCCTGCATGAATTACAAGGTGATGTTGTGTAAATTAGCTCTACGTTGTGTTGCTTGCATTGATGAATGCAGGAATGTAAATGCATGAGCTAACCATTTTTGTCTAAACTGTGAAGCAGCTTTATATATGCATCATGTGCATGATTTTTCCATATATGGCATTAGTGGAAATATGCTTTTAGAGACTTTTTGGTTGATAAATACGCTTTGATGTGTAAAAATCACACGCACCTGGTGCGTGCGTGTGTTTAGGTTAGTAAATCACCCCCAAAGTGTTACTGACCAGATTATCATGTGACAATAAAGGAAATAAGCCAAAAAATTAATAAATTATTCCAGCCTCCACAATTATGTATCGATATACTGCAATATATGACATTTTTGCTTTTTGAGTAGATATACTTTAAGCTGAAAAAAAAATGTTTCGTTTTTTCAGCCACATAGGCTTTGGCTACTGTAACATATTCTTATATTTAAAGAGAGCAAATACAAATATAAAAGCAGATGAATTTCTATTACAGACTAATTTTCACTTCAGGAAACCTTAAGATATTGTTGACAAGGGTCTGTTTTCATCTTTTAGAAACAAGGACTGGAGAACACATTGGATGAGACCCAGTGTCACGCTGGTGCACAGCTTCAGAAGATCCAGGAGCTCATCTGCCAAATGGAGAACGAGTTAAGCAAAGTTAGGAATGATTTAGAAAGACAGAGCAATGAGTATAAGATCCTTCTGGACATCAAGAGCCGTCTAGAGAATGAAATCGGCACCTACAGAAGATTGATAGATGGAAACAACAGCAGGTATAATTATGTGTGTGGGTCATATTGAATACAGTCACACAGCCATGGTATTCCCATTATCATATAGATACATTCACATCTCTTTGTAAAAGGTGCCATGCATTTTTTTGCTGCAGAACGGTTGACCAGGATGAAAAGGGGAAGGGGGTATTAGTGATCAAATTGGCTGACCCGGGAGATAAGGGCAGTATTAGTGATCAAGTGGGTTGACCCGGGTAATAAGGGGGGGGGGGGGTAGTTATTACTTGGGTTTATCCAGCTGACAACAGTGGTATAGGTGATCAAGTGAGTTGACCCGGATGATAAGAGGGGGTATAGGTGATCAAGGGGGTTGACCTGGGTGATGAGGGGAGTGTTAGTGATCAGGTGGGTATCAGTGATAAGGTGGGTTGAACAGGGCAATAAGGTGGGGTATTCGTGATCAAATGGATGAAAACTGCTCCAAAAGATGCAGCAACTGTTTTTTTCTCCTCTAACACATTTACTTGTTTTAATGTTTTTGACTTATATATTTTTTTTTCAGTGAACCACGAATTGAATTAAAAGGTAATATAATTTACTGTTTTATTGAATAATGGATTTTAAGCCTAATGCTGTGATTGATGGCTTCGTAAAGGGAGATATGAGAACTATGAAAATTTTATGTTTGATAATCATAATACAGTTTGCACATGTTATACAGTAAGGATACTTTGAAAAATATATGGTTTAGTACTGCTGTATGCACACATGAAACCAGTCTTTAATGTGAGATCAAAAACTAGATGGAATGTTAATGTCTGGAAACTGTAGGCTTGACCTTGAAAAAGTTGAGTAGTAACTTGACAAACAAAATAGAATTTTAATGTTCTTTTCAATGGCCTTAGTGATTTCAGGGGTAATGCAGCAATGGTTAGATACCAACAGGGCCAGGGGAAGAGATGCGTTGTCAAATAGTATTATGCAACAGGATAGGTTGTAACACCCAAGACAACCCATAGTAGCAAGGTCTCACTGTTGTAGTCCCCAAGAAATATTAGTGTCAAGGTGACCCTCCGTCACGTAGCAGCCCCTGGCAGGTGTCACGGGATCACCTGAGGTGCAGAGACTAAGCACCAAGGGATTTTCACCAGAACACCTGATGGTGGAGATGGGTTTAGCTGCTTGCTGGTACCAGGTCATGGCCCCCAGAATTCCCTCGCCAAGGGATGGATGAGGGCAGGAGGATTCCAATGAAGAGACAGTAGTCCAGGACATGGCAGAGGTTTCGACAGTAGATAACCAGATAATGGTTGGATGGTCCGGGTCAACAGCCAGTAGACAGGAGACAAAAACTGGAGATGAGAACTTAGTCCGATCCAGGCAATGGTCGAGACAGGCAGCTAGAAGAGAGTGGTCAGGCGGTCCAGGTCGGCAACGAGCTGTCAGCAAATCAGGCCAAAGACAAGAGCAAAGTCCGGTGCAGGCAAAAGATCAGGGCAGGCACAATTGGAAAATGTGTTAGACAGTCTGGGTTAGCAAACAGCAGTATTAAAGCTCTTTGTACACACAGGAACCTGGCTTGAAAACACAGCACCAGCCCCTTGCAGAGCTGGTGCCTAAATACCCCTTAAATCAGAGGCGACACACCCAGCATCACTTCAGGGCACTCTGAATAGCCTGGTCTGGATTCTGTGTCTATCATTAGCCATACTGATCTGGATTCTGGGAGGACCATTAGAGGTACTGGATTTTCTTCTGGAAGTCCTTGCAGGGATTCTCAGAGAAAATCTGTAAAACAGCAGGGACTCAGAGTACCATAACAATAGGATAACAGTTGATGTCTTACTCCTTCACACACCACTTAACATAACTTCCGGGTGGATTGACTCTTTAATCACTTCAACTCTCATACCTGTATTCACCTTATGGGCCACAGCAATTTTTACATTTCCACTGTGGGCCTGTATATTTAGTGATAACTTTGCTCTCTTTTGGCGATCATATTTTTCAAAAATGTTTTTTTTTTCTATGTAATCTAAAAAAAATCTAAAATAATTTAAAAAAATGTTTTTAGTAGTGTTACTGTAAATTAAAATAATACATTTTATTCTACAATTAAATTGGCAGAAAGTATGAAAAAATATTAATGGTAAAAAATAGTAATAAAATCAGCAGAAAAATACTAGGTAAGGGTAGAAGAGGAGGAAGGAGATAAAAAGGGCTGATTATGGCTAAGGGTTAATAAGGGGGTAAATAGGAATATATTTAAAGAAAAACATAACTTGAATAGTTTCTTTGAGTGACATTGTTTTTTTTTTTCTATTTCATTCATGTGTAGATTGCCTTTGATCAAATAATGATTAAATAGTAAATACAAGGGATGCACTGATACTGATAATAGTATCGGTGGCGATACAGAATATTTAGGCGAGTACTCGTGCTCCCCCAAATGCTCCGATACTTACCCCCAATACCGGAACTTCTGGTCAGAGAGATATTTCCTCGGACCGACAGTGCCGTGATGGAACATGAAGCCTGCTTCCCGTCCAATCAGCATCGAGTTGGCTTCTCGGGCAATCAAGAAGCCAGGCGGGTAATGACACCGTGATTGGCCGGGAAGCGTGTTCCATGCTACCAGAAGTACCAGTATCGGTACTCGAGTACCAAAAGATCAATATTGGTACTCATACTTGATACCGAAAAACCGGTATCGGTGCATCCCTAGTAAATACAGTGAAACAATATATATTAATTTATTGTATTTGCTCATTGACACTTGCAGGCTGCTAGTTTTATTTTACACAGGAGCATCTGTAGCTCCTGATCTGTAATACAAAGTAGTTACTAGCTTCCATTTTGAGACCTAGCATTACCTGGTAATAGGAGCAGCGGGGACGGCAGCAGGGGTATAGTAGCTGGACGTTACAGAGGTGAGGAAAAAACATTGTTGAAGTTTTTAGGACATACAGCATCTCTAACATTCTAGATTCTGATGTTGTTAAATGTGTAGTTCATTCAGAATCAAAATGCGTAAGTTTTTTCAGAAAACTCAGACATTTGGACACATCCTTTTCTGATTTTTGGATCCCGTCCGAATTTTGTTCAAAAACGTAACTGATCGGACATGTGACTTTTCTGGCCAATCAGATGTGTTTTTCGGTTTAATGCATCCGAATGGGTCTGAACACAAATTTTCATTGCGGCAACATGAGAGCCATATACAGTATATACATATAATACTAAAGCTGAGGATCCTAGACCCGAATGGCATTCAGGATCCGAATATCCGAATTGCATTCGGGAGCTCCTGAATGACATTCGGGTTTGGGAGGCCCAGCTTTAGTAATATATGTATAGGACTCCCAGACCCGAATGGCATTCTGGAGCTCCCGAATGCAATTCAGAAATTTGGATCCCGAATGCCAATCGGGTCTAGGAGATTCAGCTTTAGTATTAATATCTGTATATGGTTTTCTGTAAGAAAAGAACATTCGTAAACTCCTACGAAAGTAACGAAAATTCGGATTTCGGCCGAAATCCGAACCAAATTGAATCCCAAAATAACAAAAAAGCTGAACCAAATGTTTCCGCAGCTTACATGTCTAGTGTAGAAAGTGCATGTAAGCAAATTACTTTATCATTTAAACTTCTCTTCTTTCAGATACAAATCGCAAGGTCAAGACTATAGTCCAAGACATGGTCAATGGAAGAGTGGTTAACTCCAGAATTTCTGAGATTCCCCAAAAAATTTGAAGACATGAAAACTTGAAGTCTCAGACATAACAGGCTTTACAATCGCAAGCAGGCGATTATACCCAGTTTACATGTGCCAATATTTATCACAAATGTACGGTGGGACATAACAAGAGTGTAGAAATTCTCTACTGTATTTTACTGCCAGCATAAAAACAAGAGATGTTCAAGAAAAAAAAATGACTACTCATTTGGCTACAGTATGCATACATCATGTATCAATACTCAGTGTATTTCCCTGCAAGGGTTGCCTTTTATCATACTTTCCTGAAAAATGTGAACCTGGTGCTAGGCTCTTTTTATCTGATGGTGACACCTCAGGGACATTAGGGAGCTGAGTACATGTTACGGAAAGCATTGTCATAGGCTGAAAAATAAATGTTGTTATTCATCACTATGAAAGGTAACTTAATTAATACAGCATAAATATACAGGCATAGAATGTATCAATACTTAGAAGGTGGTGTCTATTAATATTTATTTAAACCTACATATACAGCCTAGATTTTGCCACTGTAAATGCTCCCAACATATTCAAACGGGGGTGTTAGTTTTGTTTAAACTTTGTTTATGCATTATCATTTTTGACATGGAAGTATGAATCAGTAAACTATGTTACATATTATTTTACTTTCTTTTTTTTTTTGTGACGTAAAGAATACTGAGTACACCGTGAGAAAAGCAAAATGTGTGGATTTGTACTTTACCTATTGAATTATATGCTTTCCACTGATGGCACTTACCGTGCCTGTTCTCTTCAACCACTCCAATAATCAGCTGAAGACCCATGAAAAGTCGGCGCTTTCTAGTGGAGGGGAACTTGGCGTTTTTGCGTTCCTCCCACAATGCAGCACTTAACACCAGTTTAATAGCCTTGTGTTAGCTCCAACCTATCCAACCCAGTTTTTACTCATGCCTTAGGGGGTAAAGTGGGTGACACGTGAGCAAGTGGAAGGTAAGGAGCAGCAGAAGGGGCCCTAAATGGGCAAAATACCAACTTTCTTTAAGTACCACACCCTCAAAAATTGACATTTCAGTTGTAGGGACAATCTGGTGGATTGGGTTACCCTAGTTATTTAACCACTCAGGGAATCTAACAATTAAGTCTTCCCACCATAGTACCAGTTCCAGTCTACTTTCCCGTTCTTGGTGTCCCATATTCCTTGGGGTGTTTCCACTCATGCTTTATTTTATATTGGGAAGGATCCAGTTGCTACTACCATGGAAGCTGTACAGGTCCGGAAACGTGTTGAAATACTTCCCCACTAGACCCTAAGAAATATTAAAAATATTTAGGTGCTTTTGCTCTCTAGCATCTGAAATGTCAATTTTGCGTCAATTGTCCCATGAGATTAACATAAAATTGTGGTAAATTACCCATTACAGTATTTGTCATTTGAGAATTTGGTAAAACAAACTACACGAGCCAGAGTAGAAAAGCCCATGCCCTGCCACCATACTGCAGAGAAAAACGGCTGCTATATGTGTGAAAGCAGTAGTCTCGATGTAGCAGTCTAATAAGCCCTTGCTGAGGTAGAGCTGGAGCTCTCCAATCAGCAAGACACATCGCACAGCCTATGCTCATTGGTGAGTTTTGGCCTAGCAGGGGGCATATCAATCTTCTTCTTACAAATGGATAACACACATCTTTCTCTTCAATATACTAGAATGGGCTGCTTTTTCAACTCTGGCTTCAGGAAATAAAATGTAGGACACACACATAACCAATTTGCTGCATCTTAAACCTATAGACACAATTTTTACATGAACTTTAATTTGGCGTTATAATTTCCATGTGTTACATTACGTTGTGATATTTTAAATGTATTTTAATGTATTAAAAATAACCTACATATTTACATTGTTATACCTTTGAAGTGGTAACTTTGTGATTTTATTTTCTGCTTATTTATATTTTGTTGAGATTCTAATCAATTGTCGTAAATTTTGTACATGATTTTCTTTGTTTCCAATACTTTTCTACTTTAGCATTTGCATACAGTATATTTAAATGTATCACGTAATGAATGTGAATGTGGCCATGAGTAGACAGACCTTAGGGTGAAGGAACATCTTCAAAACTGTACCTTCCAATCATTTATGTAACGTTCTACTTAGATACATTTTTTTTGTGTGTTTTGTGGATTGTTCTGATATACTTCTTACTGTTCATTCTTCATCCATATAGTACTGAATTATTACACACTGCAACTAAATCTTCACAGCAACAGACACAACAATTAGCCGTGTGTCCACGGCTCATATTTGTATCCAATATACACTAATTTTATTTAATGACAGCAATTGGCAACAGGATTCTGAATTTATTGATGATTGTACAATTAGTTCAATCACCATTTGTTTTAAATCTGGTCTCAAGCAACGCCAATAAATGTTTTCCAGCTCTCTTAATAGAATCGCAGGTTTAATTTGGTTTTTCTTTTTGAACTCTACTAATTAAAACAATTCAATCTGCATTTCCTCCAGTTGTTATACAACACTCCCAAAATATTTATTCATACCTGTAATTTGATTGGCGGTTGGTATGTGAAATACTTAGAAAGTCAGGAAAGGTTGATTAAATAGTCTGGATACAGGAGGTGTAAAGGAGATCATAGTTAATGTAAGATGGGTATTGTTGAAAGTTGTACTCCAATCAAATCTGTGGAGCTCATCCATATAAAATAGGCTTGTTTCTAATTTTGGTTGATTTACTATAGGACTGCATTCTTCACTTAGCTCATTTTTATTTTAGTCATCCAATCTAGTGTGATGAATTTTTTTGTTAAATTCCCCTGCACACAATTTAAACAAAGGGTTCAAAGTGAAATATTCTGAAATAGTAGATAAGTATGGAAACAAAGGGTTACATTTACATAACAAAGAGTTGACGTTACAGGAAGGCTTAGTGTTAGATTTCCAGGAAGTATTAGTATTGGTGTTTGTGTTACAGGGAGGGCTAGTTTGAGGGTTAGTGTTACTGATGCCGGGAGGGTTAGTGTGAGGGGTAAAGGGAGGGTTAGTGTGAGGGATACATGGAGGGTTAGTGTTACTGATTCCGGGAGGGTTAGTGTTACTGATACAGGGAAGGTTAGTGTAAAGGTGCACATACACTGCACGGTTATCGTATGAGAATCGCGGGAAATCCCGTGTATGGAAGGCCTGCGACCGTTTCTACTGTACGGTCGCACGTCTTTTGTCTAACAAGCATGTTTGAAAAGCATGTTTGTGGCATGCTCGGGAGACAAATGCCGGACGGGCCGGTGTGCGCACGCGCACACTGCCCATTCAGCATTGCGTGGGGTGGGCTTGCGATGATCGCAAGTACGATCTGCCTGTCCAAGATGGGCAGATCGTACGTTTTTTTTATTACTTTACAACCCTTGTAAAGTGTATGGCCACCTTTAGGGATATCGGGAGGGTTAGTGTTAGGGATATACCGGGAGGGTTAGCGTTAGTGGTACAGGGAGGGTTAGTGCAAGAGTTCAAGGGAGAGTTTTAGGGTTACAGGAAGGGTTAGACAAGTAAATTTCATTTCATGGCAAATGAATATTCATACACATTTTGTTAAATTCGGATCCGAATTTCTAAATTTGAACATGTCCAAATGCAAATGAATCTGAATGGTCCTTTAATGATCAATCTAAATTTCACTCAAAACTAAAACTAAATCGGACACGTGACTGTTATCTCTCCAATCAAATTAGTTTTTTGGGCTGTTGGGGGTTGCATTACAGGCACAGTCATGTGACTTTGTTCTGAAATGAAAATTCGGACAGATCCTAAATCCGAATAATTAAACAATTCAAAGTTTGAATCCAAAAAAGAAATGAAAATCCAAATTGATCCGCAACAACAAATTTTTTTGTGGAGTTACATGTCCAGTTAGTGTTATAGGGGATTAGTGTTAAAGTAACAGTGGGAGATTGGTTTTAGAATTTCAGGGAGGGTTAGCATTATAGGTTCTGAGGAGAATAGTGTTACAGTTGTGGGGGGGATTAGTGTTAGATATACAGGGAGGGTAAATTTTAGAGTTCCATGGATGGTTAGTGTGAGGGCCAGGAAGGGTTAGTGTTAGAGTTACGGGAAGAGTTAGGGTTACAGGGAGCGTTAGCCTGAGGTTAAGTGTGATGGTTACATGGAGTGTAATATTAGGGTTACAGGAAGGTTTAGTTGGAAAGTTAGTGTAAGATTGACAGGTATGCTTAGGTTTACAGAGAGGGTTATTGTACTGTATGTGTGTGTTAGGAAGTAGGGGGGATTAATGGCAAGGCATCACTCTCAACCCCAGAAGCTGTGTGCCAAAACTACCAGTGCCACCCTACCCGCATTGAAAATCTAATGAATCAGAAAAACCTACTCCTATAGAAAATCAGGATTACCCTGTAACAAAAATAGCAATAAATGAAATAATTAAATACAATGCTTCTAAATTAATAACATAAGTGAAGATGGTCTTTGCAGTGTGGATTTAGTCTGTTTATTATATGTATTTATGACATGCTGTTCCCTTATGACTTTTCCCTGTATTCTCTCTAAGCACTTACATGTTAGCTGTGAATGTTAATATATGTCTTTGCATCTTCGATGTCCATTTTCTACCATACTCTTAAATAAAGAACGGTTACATCTTATTACTGTGATTTCTCTTGACAATTTTTATGTTTAGATAATCATTTGTAGGGAGGTGTTGTACTTTGCACCTGAATTTCCTTAAACCAGTTGCTTGTACTTTGCACCTGAATTTCCCTATACCAGTTGTTCCAATACAGCCGAAAGAAACCATTATACATGTTCTATACATTAGTGAATGTAGCAGAGTTGAAGCAGAAAGTGTGGAAATGAAAATGACAATGTGGATAAAGGAGAAAGTATTACCGAGAATATTTCAAAGCAATGAAAGAATAATAGGCTGAGAAAGAAATTATTATAACCTATTGTAAAAATGTAAAAGAAGGAGTGAATAGTTAATTCAACATTTTTAAGATATAACATCTATATTAAATATAAAATACACACTCACCGACCAATTTATTAGGTACACCTGTTCAATTGCTTGGTAACACAAATTGCTAATCAGCCAATCACATGGCAGAAACTCAATGCATTTAGGCATCTAGACAACTTCATTATAAGTGAAGCTTTCCCTTAAAGTAATG